GGAATTAGGACCAGAAGGGACCTCATCTAGTCTAAATCCTTCACTTTAGCAATGAGGACACTTGGGTCTCCGAGAAGTGAAGTTGACTTGCCTAAGGTCACAGCAGGACTAAATGGAAGAGTCAGGATTTGAACCCCGGACTTCTGACTTTGGATCCAAGATTCTTCCCCACCATACTTTGCAGACCTGATCAAACCTAGGGTTTTGGTATCTCCTCTAACAGTGTCTAGAACAAAGGAGGCGTAGCCCTGATCTACTGTGTACTCCTCAGACCGTGGTGGAGCCCACTGTTCAGGTCTATGTGTTTTCCGATCTTGAATTACCTCGGATTCTCTCTGTGTGTAGAGCTGATTTGTGACCCCCTCCCTCTCATTCCCTTAACTCTTCCCAGCTTACTCTTCCAGCTGTAAATCTCTCTCAAGGCCTGCAGTAGTACATCCTCTGACCCCTCTGGGAACATAATTTTACTTTCTCTGAAAATCCTGCCCGACTAGTTCTAACTCGCTCCCCTCCCACACTCCTGGCACCAGCACTAGCTGGTTGGGAATGAACATAGTATCAGTTCTTTGAACTAAACAGACTGTCCCTTGTCCTTCTCTGCTCAGGGTCTGGCTGAACCCTTCCTAATCTAACACAACAAAGCCCTGGGCCTTTTTCTTACCTTGGGGTCCAGAGGCCCTGCTGGGTACTTTGTTATTTCACTCTTTTAACCTGTGGTCCCTGAATTTTTTATCCTCAAATCTTGAACCTTTCACTTTTTTTGCTGGGGGTGGGGTGGGGGGGATGATGCAGACAAATTAAGATAAGAGCCCTGCCCCCTTTCCCCACAGAAAGACCTAGGATACTAGGAATTCGTGACCATAGCTGACATTTATTTAGAGAGATTGAAGAATCACCATGTGCTTTCTAGCATTATCTTATTTAATCCTTATAACCGTCCTCCGAAGCAAGTACTACATGTATTATCTCCATCTTACAGATGAGGAAACTGAAGCCCAGAGAGGTGAATTTGCCCATGGTCTCACAGCTAGAAGTGTCAGAGGTGGAATTGGAGCCCAGGTTTTCTTGACTCCAAGATTAATACTCTTTTCAATTTGTCTTTTATCAAATAGTGAAAAATCAACCAACAAGCATTTTTTAAGGACTTGCTATGTGCCAGGTGCTGTGCTGGGCACTGGAAATACAAAGGCAAAAATGAAACAGTCTCTCCCCGCCTTCAAGGAGCTAACATTCTATTCAGGGAAATACATACAATGAAAATGGAGAGGAGAGCTCTCTCCTTACTGGGAGATCAGGAAAGGCCTCATTTTTGAGGTTGACCTTGAAATCTCAATTAAAGCAATAAATTGTTAGCTCAGCTGAATCTTGCCACACAGGATTTAACCTAAATCCTACTCTGACAAACGTATATATTATTATAGGCTTTTGAATACCCCTTTCCCCTTAGATCCGTCGACCTTTTGATTGCATCCCATGGGTAGGGATGGCTGGGAGAGACAGGACAATAGACATGAAAAAGCAATGGAGTGAGGAAGAGGGACCGGGAAGAATAAACTATTCCATCATGCTTGTGTGATTTGTGGGTGCCACATGCCTATAGGCTCCCAGAAAAGGGCTACCTTGCTTAATGAATAGAGTATAGGACTTGGAGGCAGAAGACCCCAGTCCAAACCTCTTCTCAGACAATGACTAGCTGCATGACCAAAGACAGGTCACTTTAACCTCTCTAAGCCTCAGTTTCCTCATCTGTAAAATGGAGATAATAATACCTACAGTACTTACTTCACTAGGTTGTTGGGTGGAAAGTGCTCACAAAGCTTATGGCCCTAGAATTATGTGTTGTTGTTGTCTTGGAGAATTTAGCCTTTTCAATATTTCAGTTCCAACCAGGATTGGATAATCTACCTGACTAAGGAGATTGAAGAAATTCCCATAATTCCAAGATAGATACCATTTTCTTATCCTGGAAGCATGCACAAAGTTCAGGAGTCCTCCTTGAATTATTGGGGAAATGCTCACATGTCCCTTTGGTGAAGCTGATGGCATTCATCTCACAGTGAAAATCATCCTGATTTCCCTCAAATGTTGGTGGGCAAAGGCAACCATGTTTTTTCACAACACTCCCATAGTACAGCTGTGGGGGACAGCAGGTGAGCCCAGGGTGGCAATCCTCCCATTCCTGTGCCTTACAAAGTTGTATACTCTGGTTTTTTCCTTTGGAAAAGCTGTTGGAAGTTTTCTGTTCATATGGTAAATATTTGACATGGTTTATTAGGAGCTCCTTCTAAAGGATTCAGGGCACAGGAAGGAGGGCAGGGCCTTGGTTGCCCAATATAGTCACATTTCTCCTAGGACTAGGTTTCTTAACATTTTGTGTCAAGGAGTCATTGCAATCTGATGAAACCCATGGACCTCTTCTCAGAAAAAAATTTTTTTTAAATAACTGAAATGCTGAATTTCGGTTCAAGATGAGTGAAAATCGAGATTTAATTTTTTCCCACTCAGCTTCACAGACCCCCTGAAATCTATCCACAGACCTCTTCAGGGTCTATGGACCACCAGTTAAGAATCAAGAATCATGTCCTATGGGATGGAAAAGCCCCCAGGTATCAATATATGATTTATATCACTCTTCCTTCCTGCAGCTTGAGATAGCAACATCTTCTTGGTTTAGGAAGTCCTAAGAGGTTTATCAAGCCATATTTGGACCCAGGAAATGTTAGCTGGAGTAGAAAGAAACTGTCCCTTATGTTCAAAGCTGCCCAAGGGACTTCAGAAGGCATCTAAGACAAACAACAATCCAAGATCCTTGACAAACAGTCATCCAGCTTCTGCTTGAAGACTTCCAGAGAGTGGGAATTCAGTACCTTCAACCTGTTCCACTTCTGCACAGCAAATCATTAGGAAGTTTTTATTTTTTTTTTTTGAGGCATTTTTCAGTCGTGTCCAACCCTATTTGGGGTTTTCTTGTTAAATATACTGGAGTGGTTTGCCATTTCCTTCTCCAGCTCATTTTACAGATAAGGAGACTGAGGCACACAGGGTTAAGTGACTTGCCCAGGGACACACAGCTAGAACATCTCTGAGGCCAGATTTGAATTCAGGAAGAGGAATCTTCCTGACTCCAGGTGTGGTGCTCTATCTACTTAGCCACTTAGCAGAGTTTTCTTTAAGCTGAGGTAAAATCTGTGTCTCTTCATTTCTTATAGGACAATAATATTCCATCAGATAAAAAAAAGTCTGTGTCTCTGACTTTCACCCATTTCTCCCAGTTTTGCACATGTGGGCCAAATAGAACCAACCTCTCATTCATGGGTCAGGCCCTAAGACACTTAAAAATGACTCTCTTGTTCCCAGAACTTCTTCTAAACACTAAACACCCCATTGCTACAACAGAACCTCAAATGGAATGAACTCATGGCCCCTCACCATGCTGGCTCCTCTCTTTGGAGTGGCTTCACAGTTCAACAATAATCTTCCTAAGATATGGTCTCCCCAACTGACTGCAAAACTCCTGATATGCAATGGTCCAGGACAGAGGGCTGAATGACCTGCCTGGTTCTCGACATTCTACCTTTCTTAATGCACTCTATTACATTAGCTTTCCTGGTTGCTCTGAATGAATGAATGAATGAAAAAGTATCTAAGTACTTACTTCGTGCAAAGCACCGTGCTAAGTAAAGCCCGAATATACAAAGAGAAAAGCAAGACAGTCCCTGTTCTCAAGGAGCTGACATCCTAATTGGGGGGATTACATATAGGAGGTTTCAGCAACAAGCTGGAGAGAAAGACACCTTAATGCTGATTTCCTTAATAAAAACCATATATATTTCTGATGCTGAACCACTTGAAAGTGCCAAAGGCTTTAGTGGTGAGAACCTCCTTTTCAGAGTCTTCAGCAGCTGTGGTTTGTGGAGGAGTTGGGGCCTTCCTTGTCTACAGCAGCACCTGACCATTGTCATCTCCACAAGGGCCATTCTCCTGGATCAGGGCTGGTGCTCTGGAGCTCTTGGGCTCCCCAGTCTAAGAGCGGCATTTGTTTGACAGTTGGTACTTCTGGGGGTGGGTGGGGAGGGGGGTTGCTCCCCTAAATGATGGCTGTAGCACACCAGAGGATGGTAGTGAGTTTGCACACCACTTAGACCCCAAATTCTTTTTTCATCAACCTTCCATCCCATACATGGACAGTTGAAACAGTCCAAGGAGATGGGATGGGGGTGGGTGGGGTGGGTGAAGAGTGTCCTTCCTCTTTTACTTAGGGTGACTGAAGGTCTGCCTAGAAATTCTGGGCCTGGTGATCTCAGCCAAATTCAGGGGAAGGGAGGTGGGGGAGGGATTGGGGTAGAAGGCAACCTGCCCTAGCTGGGTGTAGCAGGAGAGAGACAGAGAGACAGACGACAGAGAGACAGACGACAGAGACAAGAGAGACGGAGAGACGGGGACCGCAAGCATTTAATGAGCGTTGACTAAGGACCAAGCACAGTGCTGAGCCGGGGAAGGACGAGAGGCAGGCGGCCCTGGCCGCGAGGAGCTTACACTCCAAGGGGGCAGCCGGCCCACAAGGAGAGCTGGCAGGTGGGAAGCCCCCTGACTCCCTCCTGCCCGCAGCCCTGCACCCTCTCTTCCAAGCCTCCCCGCTCCGCGGGAGCTGGTGGCGATCCTTACGGCAGGGGGCGGGCGGAGATGAAGGGAGGGCCTCGGAGGGTGGCTGGGCTCGGCGGTCTCCGCCGTCCATCCCTCCCTAAGGAAGTCTCGGCCCGACGCCGAGGCTGGGGGAGGGGCGGGGGTAGAGTTCGGCTCGCGCGGCCCGGCCGGAGGGGGAGGATGAGCAGCGCATGGCAAGCTGACGCCGTCTCCTAGCAACCAGCTTCCTCGCGGTCACGTGCACAAGCCCTGGGTCAGGTGGCCGCCGGAGCCGGAGCCGCAGCCGGAGTCGGGGGGAGGGGGCGCACGGGGCGGGGCCGGGAAAGTTTGTTTCCCAACTCTGAGGGTAGCGTCCGAGCCGCTGCAGCCGCCCCGGCCGCCGCCTGCTTCCCCATTGTGTGAACCCGGCTCTGGCGCCGGCCCCGGCTTGGCCTGGGATGGAGCTGCCCGCCGTGAACCTCAAGGTAGGTCCGGGGAGGGCACCGTTAGAAGGGCATGGGGGGGGCGGGAGGCGGAGAGGGCTGGGCCCGAGGACGGGGGCCCGAGAGGGACAAAAAAGGGGTCCCGGGCGGAGTGGAGGCTGAGAGGGAGGGGGCGTGTAGGAGGAGGGAGACGAGGAGGGCAGAGCGGAGGCCTTTGGGTCTGAGCTCTCTCGTTTTACAGACGAGGAAACTGAGGCACAGAGAGGGTTCAATGACTTGCCCAGGGTCACACAGGCTGGTAAATGCCTGAAGCTGGGTTCCAATCAACTCCAAGTCCAGTGCTTTCCGATCTGCGGTAGGCTGGAGGGGAAAGAGGAGGTTGAGGGGTTTAGGGGACCTTGGGATGGTCAGGAGAATAGTGGAGCAGGGGGATTAAGGGGTCCGGGGACCCGGAGACAAGAGAGGAGCGAGTGAGAATAGGCATAGGAGAGGCATCTGAAAAAAGTATACATACTTAGAAAATGAATCCAAAATGGAGGCCGTGCTGTATGAAAGCAGCCTCCAGCTTTGTGGAGTTTGGAGCCTGAACTCCAAGGGAACTCCTCCATCCAATCCAGCCTTGGAGCCTGGGAACCTGAACTCTAGGTGGATTTCGCTGTTTATTATACAATCATATTTCCTTGAGTTAGCAGAATGTTTTCCCTAATTTACTGAAGACTAAACAGTAGATTAGGAAGAGACAGTGAAAGTTCAGAATATTGCTTAAAAACTTAGCAGCTTTGGCATTCATTTGTTCTTTGCTTTAAAAAAACTGTATATAAGCAAGGTAAATTTTAGGGGAATTTGTAGCCTGTTGCAAACTACCTCTGTGTGCACATTCTTGCTGTTGTTTGCTACTGTAAAAACCTTCAGTAAAACTTTATTTTTTTCTCCTCAAATATTCGTGGTCTCAGAAGTGGGATTTAAACCCACACCTCCATAAGGAGACCAGAGTCGTGAACCATCACATTTTTGTGTGTGTGTGTGTATGTATGTATGTGTGTGTGTTAAGGTAGTTGAGAGTGCTGAACTTGGAATCAGAAAGACATGGGTTCCAGTCCTGCCTCAAACACTAGCCTTGTGATCATGGGCACTTATCTTCCCTGGGCCTCAGTTATGCCATCTGCAAAATAGTTCGTATAATATCTGTAGATTTGTAGATATCTGTAGATATAATATCTGTCTCTCCCTCCCAGGGTTTTTTGTGAGTCTCAAAGAAGGTCATCTAGCTAAAACACTATGTCATAAATTTGGAGTTGTTAGAACTAGGGACTAGAGATTAGAGGGAGGAGCAGTTTTGGGGTGAGTGAGGGGGATCTAGTGAGGGGATATGGAGGTGAGGGCAGGCTAACTAGGCCAGTTCCTTATGTTATAGTCAGATAACGGACAAGGAAGAGAGAGGATTGGGGCACTAAGGACAGGAGGGTTTTGAGGAAGGAGGGAGGCAGAAAGGCAAGGGATGAGGAAGATGGAATGTGGGGGCTGGAGAGGTGAGGAGGCAGCAGGTGGAGTCTGAAAGGATGAGGACGAAGGGAGGAAAGGGTCCGGGGGATGAAAGACTGCATTGGGGCGGGCTGAGGGGCTGAAGCATGAGAGGACATGGGGAGTGGGGACAGGCTGGACGATGCAGAGCTCTTAAGGGTGAGGGAACCCAGAAACTGAGGAGGAAGGAAGCCGAGTGGACGGATGAGGGAGAATCTAAGGGGGTGAGGGGTAGAAAAGCTTAGAGTGAGGCGTGGGGGGGCAGCCCAGGGGATATAGGATGTGGCTGGAGAGGGGGGACCCCAGGGTTTTCCTTGGCAGGCCCCCATTCCTGGAATGCTCTTCCTCCTCATCGCTACGTCTTCCCTGGCTTCCTCCAAGACCCAGCTAATATTCCAGCATCCAGAGGAAGCCTTTTCCCATATGATTCCAGTCTCATCCCTTCCCTCTGCTGACCATCCCCATGTATCCTGGGCTTAGCTCCTTAGTACAGAGGTCACGTGTCATCTTCACCGTCAAGCTGTGAGGTCCTCGGGCCAGGGTCTGGTTTTTGGCTTTCTTTGAATCTCCAGCGCTTAGCCCAGTACCTGGCACAGAGTAGGTGCTCAATAAATGCTTGTTGGCTGACTTCAGTGGAGGAATCGAGGAGAAGAGGCCAGGCATGGGGTGAATAGGAGGAGGGAAGAGATTGGGTGGAAGGAGATGGAGTCTGCAGCACTGAGATATCAGGCTGCCCTCGATGGAATAAGGAAAAATGGTGGAGTGAGCTGCTGGGGTGGCTGAAAGGTTAGGGGACAAAAGGAAAACTGGGGAGCAGAAGGGGGAGACCAGGAGGAAAGCAGTCCGGGGACAGAGAGGTGCAGAGGGAGGAACATGCTGGTGCTTAGCGCCAGGCCTGGTACGTAGTAATAAACTCTTGTTTACTTCTTGACTTGGAAATGAGGGAAAGAAAACAGATGGAAGGAGGAAGGAACGGAGACTATTGGAGGCTAGATGGACTTGTTTAGAAAGAGGAGGGCTGAGTGCTCTGTCATCACAGGCCCAGGTACTTGTCCTAGGCTCCTCTAATCTACAGCCCTCCCCTGGGGACTTTCTGAAGCAGAGGAAGGGTGGGGGATTGCAGTGAGGAGAGGGGCCAGCCCAGCCAAGAGACCCTCTGCCTCCCACTCCCTCCTCCCTGCTGCTCTGGCCAGGGAGAATGCTCTCCATTTCCAGGAGCCATTTGCTTTCACTGTTTACTGTCCTGGTTACTTATTTGTCCCCATTGTTTACTTAGACCAGGTTAAGAAAGTCAAGTGACTAACAAACCCCTTTTTCCATGTTAAAGAATCTAGTTGTGACTGCACCTAAACATGGTGCTCTTGGTGGGGTGTCCTCACTTCTGGCACCCTCCTCTGGCCTAGGCCCACCCCCGTGGCCATGCTTCTTTGCTCTTCCACCAACGCAGAGATGTGGGCTATTAGTTAGGAAGGCTGACCGTTGGAAGCCTAGATCAAGGTATTTCCCAGCTCAGTGATAGCATTTTTACACAAGAATGACAGGAATATAATATTAGTAATTATAGCTAGCATTTTTGTAGTACTTAGTGTGTGCTCATAAATGCTTTACAAATATCTCATTTGATCCTCACAACTACTCTGGGAGGAAAGGGCTATTATTTCCTCATTTTACAGATGAGGAAACTGAGGCAAACAGAGGCGAAGTGACTTGCCCAAGGTGCACACAGCCAGGAAGTGTCCGAGGTCAGATTTCAACTCAGGTCTTCTGGACCCGAGGCCCAAGGCTCCATCCTCTGTGCTACCTAGACCACCAGGTCCTGTGAACACAGTGGTGTTGATAATTCTGACCAATAGCTGCTCTAGGTGTCACTGTAGTTTGAAAGGTGGGGCCGTGTTGTGTCATTTGGGAGGAAGGGGAAGACGGGGCGGCAGAGAGGCAGCTTTCCCTCAGTCATCACCGTGTTCCCATGTCTTCCCTAGAGTGGGCAGCCCCTTGGGGTGGGAGCTAGTTCCAAACTCTGTTGGAAGGAAGTGTGGAGAAATGCCCAGAAACCAGGTGTTTGAGGTTTGGGGCCAAGATCATCGAGTCTCCTGGAGGCCTGCTCTTTCCATAGCCCTGTCCTAGCCCCTTGGGACGAGGGCAGTCCAGTCCCTGCCTGCATCAGGCTTATGCTGAATTAGGAAGACAAGCCAAGCACATGGGGAGCATGTGCTAACCCTCACCCTAAACTACTTTTCTTTTAAAAATAGCTTCTAGAAGGGCAGGCGGGGGGACCGTGTGGTTTGTAACCGACTCACTTGACGGAAGAAAAAAAAATGATTTTTATCTTTAGGATTGTGTGTGAAGCTTTAAGTGCCCTGTCTTGCACCGTTAGTCAGACAGCGAGGCTGGGTTAGTAGCTGTAGGATTTCTTCCTTTTTGTGATTCCCACTTCAGATGGGATCGTTGATTTAGAGATGTAATGCAAACTAAGCTCTGCATGTTTCACTGTGGAAAAACCCCTAGCTTCACCCCATTATGGCTGGCGTTCTTCAGGAAGCCGTGCTTAAACTGGAATGGCCTCAGACAAGCCGGGATGTCTAGTGTGGGGCCTGACCTTTTTGGTTCTTTACAAGGGTGAAATAACATGTAAACCACCCGCTTCTGCTGTGACACAGTACACTTACTGATAAAAAGAAATGCCCCCATTTTTCCAGGAGCCAGGGTGAAGGGCTATGCTGTGGTTGACTGCGTCAGTCATTCAAGTCAAAAGAACTGGGAGAGAAGGGAACAGGCATTTATTAAGCACCTGCTATGTGCCGGACACCGCACTAAGGGCTTTACAAATGTTACCTCATTTGGTCCTCACAACAATCTGACAAGCAGGTGCTGTTGTTGTCCCCATTTTATGGATGAGGGAACTGAGACAAACAAATTAAGTGCTTGCCCAGCATTGAAGAGATAGTAAGGTTCTGAGGCTGGATTTGAACCCAAGTCTTACTGACTCCAGGCTCATCACTCTCTGCACTTAGGTGCCCCCTAACTGCCTCCTTGGGGCAACTAGGTGGCCCAGCAGATAGAGCACTGGGCTTGGAATCAGGAAGACTGCTCTTCCTACGTTCAGATCTGGCCTCAGACACTTCCTTGCTGTGTGACCCTGGGCAAGTCACTTTACCCAGTTTGCCTCAGTTTCCTCATCTGTAAAATGGGCTGGAAAAGAGAATGGCAAACCGCTGCAGTATCTCTGCCAAGAAAACCCCAAATGGGGTCACAGCAAGTTAGACGTGATGGAAACCATTGAACAACTGCCTCCAATGCTTCTTTGTGAAATGTTTCCAGGACCTTGAGATGGCCTGTGGCCAAGGGGAGCCTGGTCCAGTTGGGCTGCTCTTTTTTTTGTGGCCCTTAAGCTACAGGGGCCCTCCAGATACCATCTCCTCTGACCCTTTAGGATCCTGGGTGTGCTAATAGAGAAAGGGAGTAGAGGAAGCTAGGTTTGGGTGGGGTAAAGGGCAGCTGAGGCTGTGGGAGGGTATCCCGGC